CCACCACCACCACATGCTCTAGTCAAACCCTCTTTATCGGGGCAGAGTTTTCCCCTCGCAAAAGGAGGGGGGGGAAGGAAAAAAAAAAAAAAAAAAAAGAAAACAAATTCGTCGACTTTGAAGAAGACGCCATCCTTCGACTAGTCCTGTTGATGTCACTCATCAACTATCATAATCATCCATCCATCCATCCATACGCAACCATTCGCAACACCACCACCACCACCACCACCACCAACACCTCCAGCTTCCACCATCCAGAATAATGCGTGCTGTACATCTACATCTACATGTACATGCATGTCCCATATCCACTGATGTCATAACGCAGCATACATCCAATGTAGCAAGGGGAAAAGAGGGAGAGATAGGACCTACTTCCGTAGTGGATCTTCCCTACCTAGCTCCGTAGCACCGTATCGTATCCCCATGCCCTATCCCCCATCCCCCATCCTCTCCCCAGATAGCCTCCCACCCACCAAACAAAAAAAAAAGGAATCAAATAAAAAAAGACCCTGCACGGGGCAGGACGGGGGGGGGGTTGAGGGGTGAACCTGAAAGAAAGGGATGGTTCTAGATCAGATCCTACACACTCGATTACCGGAATAGGTAATCCGGCCAGAACGGGCACCTCATAACAGATTCATACGAGGAACGACCTACAACTATAACTGCACATAAACATACTATGCAGTACATGTCTATTCCACAGGAAAGACATTTCAAACCAGGATCGTCAGAGGGGTTCAAGAATTACCTACCAGTCCCCCCCCCAATTCTTTCTCAAGGAAAGGATTTCCGGTCAAGATCCAGCGAGTAGCGTGGCGACTTGGAAAAGACAATCGGTGGAAAGCAAGACCGCATAGCATGAAATTCGTTTTGATTGTGGAATGAAACAATACGCGCGGCTTTCTTTCTTTCTTTCTTTTTTTTCCCCGTTTGATGGGCTATTTAACCCTTTCCTTTGTAAATGTATCTCATTCCATTACTCTACACACCGGCCGCCCATGGGAGGGAGGGGATACGGGGGTGAGTCTATACAATTTTTCCATCCATTCGCTTTATCCCTTGATGCAACATGCGACATTGAGGCCGGTTGCTGTTCTTGTATACACAGAAGACTGAAATGGGTAAAAAAAAAGAAACACAAACATGAGTCAGTAAGAATGCATTCGGGCCTCAGAGAAATGGAACCCGGAGGAATTGGCCAGCACGCATTCAACACATACACACACACACCACCCACCAGCACCTAACGCCTCGCAAACCAAAATCAACCGGCCAGCCAACCTGCCCCGCCAAGGTCATGAGTAGTAAGGAGCTCATCGGCCCGCGGGAGTCAGACTACTAGATGAAAGAAAACACAATCAGAAAGAGAATCACTCCTCGAACTTCCTCTTGACCCCGTTCTGGCCGTTCGGGGGCCCACCGCCCCCAGGAGCTTGTCGGTGTCGTTTCCGAGCTTCTTCCTCCTGCAACGCCTGGCGCTTCTTCCACGCCGTCTTGATTGCAGGAGCCATGCGGATGAGGTCCTCCTCCGTCACCCGATCCTGGATACTCTCCAGAACCTTATGCACCGTCGAGATGTGATTCGCGTCCGACTTGTCATCCCGCAGCCGATGGAACCGCCACCGGCCCTGGTCATCCTGGGCGCATTCGACGATCGTGTCATCCAGCGGCTGGCCCAGGGCCTTCATCGCCTCCCACTCGTCCGGCGTGACGAACATCTCCCCGAAGGGCTGGTACTCGTTCGTGCGCAGCAGCACGAATAGATGGAAGATCGGCATCGTGTCGTAGTCCGCGTACGGTTCCATGACCCCCTCGGCCTCGTCGTCGGTGTCCGGCTCGAGCAACGGGAACTCCAGCCTCATGCGGAAATCGATGGTGTTCTCCGCCGGCGGCTTCCACTTCAGGATGTGCTCGTCGGTGCCGATCTTGTACGGGGTGCTCCGACACGTGAAGATCAGCCCGTCGTTGCCATGGATCTTCTTGACCTTGGGGATGATCTCGCGGAACATCATCTCGATCCCGTAGCTGAACTGCGTCGATTTGTCTTCCACCGTGAACGTGCGGTGCGGGATCTCCTCGGGGAACTTGCGGTACATGGCGTTGTACGGCCGCAGCACCTTCTCCTTGAAATAGGCCAGCCGCTTGTCGAGCGTGCGGTGCATCAGCGGCTGCCCGTCCAGCACCAGGCAGTCGAACACCAGGAATTTCAGCTGCTGCGTCCCGTCCTCGTAGGTGTCGTTCACGAGCTCACCGTCCACGATCGTATTCACGTGGAACTGTCGGAAGGTGTCATCACCGGGGAGCGGGAAGTGCAGCCCCGGCACCCACCGGTAGTCGTTCTTGCGGTCGATCAGGTAGTGCACCTCCGGCGTGTCCGAATCCGGTTCCCCGTGCGCAAAGTACATCAGGCACCGGATGCCATCCGTCTTCTCGCAGACGTAGTAGTCCTCCCGCTGGAGTTCGGTGAGATGTCGCGTCGCGAAACTGACCGGCTGCGCTCCGGGAAAGTTCAGGTTGTTGCGCCCCAGAAGACTGGCGACCTCGCGCCGGAGCATGTCGGCCAGCTCTGGTTCGGCTTTCACGCCGACCGCGTCGAGGTCGGGAACGGAGTTTCCCATCTTGCAGCTGGACGAAGAGGAGCGCGGGGTGGTGGGTGCGTAGGTAGGTAGGTAGGTAGGTAGGTAGGTAGGTAGGTAGGTAGGTAATAAGGGCGAGGCGGGATCGGGATTCAATCGGGTGAGGTGGACTCGACAATGGACGCGGATCGGAGTTGAGGTGGGCGGGCGATGGGGTTCTTTTGGACTGTCTGTAGAGAGTTGAAAGTAGGTTGAGAGTTATATAAGAATTGAGGTCGGACCGAGGCCTCGCCTGCAAAGCCGCACAGCTTTGCGCGGTGTTAAAAGAAAGGAGTGTGAGGTGAAAGAAAGGGCAGGCGCATTGAGCTCATTTGGGTGGGTGGGCGGGCTTTTGTCGCCGTTCGGCGGAGGTCGCGGTTGTGGCCTGAGGCAGTCTGACATGCCACCAGTATAGATTCTTAGTAGCCTTCAGGTAATTATCAGGCACAACTTATCAAAGAAACTTTCGTAATATTGGCAAGGTCTAAGAAGCATTGATGTGAAGTTGCATTAGAATCTCTATCAAATCACACGTCAACCCATTTTGGACACAACTGTACACCAAGTAAAGCAACAATGCATGCATCCAAACACACTCAACACGGGGTATCATATCATCACAGAAGTCAAAAGAGCGCAGCAAAGTTGAATCATCCTTAAAACGCCGTCCCCCAACCCGTCCAACCTCCAACCGCTGACCCATCGCCGTTTTGTAACCCCTTAAATACCACTGGGCAGCAACATGAAGAACCCATCCAACACGGAAAAATGACTGAATTCATAAACCATTTGCCCACGCACCTGCCTGGACCAAGACCTCACGAGCTTGCCGCCACGGAAAGTTTCTTGGGCGCAGGTGCGGCCGGAGTCTTCGTATCAGCATCTGTCGCATTATCCGGCACAGTTGCAGAGACCGGTAAAGCCATGTCGACTTCGTCCACGGGGGTGAAAAGGTTCCCATCGGAGAACAGAGAAGGCGTAGATGAGGTGTTGTCGCCGGTCGAGAAGAGGCCACCGCCGCGCGAGCCGCCCAGAGCATGCGACAGCATCTCTTTGATGCGCACGTACTGGTACTTCTTCTTGGTCGAGATCAAGGTGTGACTGACAAGAGGCTGTGGATGTGAGCGCGTGATCGCCGCCATCACGGCATCCTTCTCTTCATCCGAGTCGACCGGACCGTTATTATCTTGCTCGTCCTGCAGCGGCGCGTTGGCGTCGATAGCAGCCTCTGTCAAAAGTGCATTAGCCCCACGGTTTTCACTCATTCTGACTCGAGAAGAAGAAAGAGAAACTTACTCTGCTGCCTCGCCTGGTTTTTCTTCTGATACGCCTGCAGCAACATGTCGTATGGTAACGAACGTCCAGGGACCGCTCGCTTCGCACCCATCGAATGGCTCTTACAAGTCAAAGAGCGCGCACACTGGGCCCCATTCGGCAGAGTAACACCGCACTGTTTCTCGACATCCACGGGACCCTTCGGTTTGGCGGTCTTCGGTTTGGGCTCCTCCTTCTTTTTCTTCTTCGTCTTGGGCTCCTTGCTATCCTTGTCGTCGCCATCCCCGGCCTCCGTCTTCCGCTTCGTGCCCTTCTTCGCCCCGATCTCCGCCGCCATCCCCTTGACGGCGCTCTTCTTCGCGCCCTTCTGGCCCTTCATCGACGAATCCTCTCCACCTTCCCCTTTCTCCCCGCCGGGTCCCCCTCCAGCACCGCCGGCGCCGCCCACGCCCACCTCCTCGGTATCATCCTTATCACCGGCCTTGGCCCGATTCGCCGCATCGCGCGCCTCCTTCCGCTGGCGCGCCTTCTCCTGCTTCGCTCGAATACACCCGCGGATGTGTTCCACGGCATTCTGCTTGAGGACCGGCCTCTTGCAGGTCTTACAGATGACCGTCTCCAGATGATCTTCTTCTCGCGGCTTGCCCGTCGGGAAGGCGGCCATAGTCTTTTCGTCGATCTCCGGAAGAATCGGGGATGAGCCGGGGGAGGCGGGGGGTTCTGTCATCGCATGAAAGAGGTTTTTCTTTAGCATCCTCTCTTCTAGTAGTTCCAATAGGAACCCCAACGTCTTCTTCTGCCTCGAAATGATGTCTCCACACTCCCCTCCGCCTCAGGAACCCAGAGCAGCGCACCCTTTTCCCAGACGGAAACAAGAACAACACAGGAACCGAGAAAGGGGAAAAGAAAAAAAAAACATACCATCAGCCTTCTTCCTACCTCCCAGCTTCGCCGACTTCTTCAACTTGATCTTCCCGGGTTTCACATCCTTCTCGGAGAATTTATATCCGGACGCATCAACAAAACTGCCAGCAGTTGTTGATGATGATGATGATGATGATGATGATGATGCGACAGAAGGGGCTGCAGCGCACAGTAAAATGGTGAGTCACGAAAAATTAGCCCAATATTCTTCTTCTCTCGAGTGAGATTCCGCCTTCAATAGCTTTTCCGTCCCGAGGTATTGTTTCCTCTTGCCCTCTCTCTTCCTCCATGATGACCTCGCACACACACATACACACACAGAGAGAAACAAAGCGACGAGAGAGTACAGCAAAGCAAGATGTACACACCGTTATTGGAAGTAGCCATGATTTGTTAACTCGAGCAAACGAGCCCCCGGGAAAGGGCTGATTCAATAAGTAATGTGATATAGAACCCGCGACTACGACCACGGCTGGTGATTTCTTCCCTACTACCGTGGCCTTCCTTCCAAAGTTGGACGACTGATTGTATTGTGTGGGTTTCGAAGCGTAGAGAGAGGGTGATGACGGGGCGGGACGTTGTCATTCATGTAAAGAACGAAAGGGTGGGTTTTGAGGAGATGAGACGGTAACTTATATCGTGTCTAAGGAGAGAAGCTCGGTGCGAGAGCTAATCGACTGATCGGAAGGAGGGGGCGTGTTGCGACAACCCAGCACGGCGTAGCGTTGAAACAGCAGCAGCTGTAGTGCTTGCGATGCGATGATCGAGGCTACGTCCGGGGCCGGGGGGTTTCCCGCATGGGGTTGGGTCACGTGCGCGGACTGGTGAAGGAATCCCTGCTTCTTTGACTTGGTGGAATCGCGAGGTGTACAATAGATCCAGGCTTGGAGAATAAGTGTTACTTGTTTGAAGCTTATTGAAATTGACTTCAAATTCATTGAGAAGAAAGAGCTGAATTATTGACCAGTCCCAAACACCAGGCATATATCAAGGGCATTATGTAACACAAACCACTATATCATCTAAACAATTCAGATGACTTAGAATCAAGTAATCACATATAAAATACATTTTCATAACCTGACTGTGTCAGGTACCTCGGCATCCTATCTTGATGAGAGGCGGATATGGTTCTCTGCCGCTGACGAAGTATGACATGTCCACGCTAAAGTACATGCTGTTGATACAGTGCAGCATCTATGCAAAAAGACCACACAACAATAGGATGAGACACCTCACCTAGTTGTTGAGCTTCGAGAAACACAAACTGCTGTTGGTCCCTCCAAATCCAAAGCTGTTCGTCAAAGCTACGTCAATACGGCGCTCTTGCGCCTCGCCCGGGGCATAATTGCAATCGAATCCATCTGCTAGCCGCTCCAGGTTAATTGTTGGAGGCATGATGTTCTGAATCGCACTGTTAGTATTTCCATGACAAAGCTTGTTCGAGTGCGAGAAGAACACGCCTACCTCATTGACTGCGAGAACGACAAAGGCAGCCTCAATGGCGCCAGCACCACCAAGCAGGTGGCCAACAGCACCCTTGGTGCTGCTGATGTTGACCTCTACAGCTTTCTGTTTTCCACCTGGGCCGAGAAGCAGAGCTTTGATGGCACTGTTCTCCGCCGCATCGCCCACAACTGTTGAAGTAGCGTGAGCATTGATGTAGTCGACAGCGGAGGGCGAAAGCCCGGCGTTCTTGAGCGCCTTTTTCATGGCCAAAAATGCGCCTTCACCATTCTCCTTGGGCGCAGTCATATGGTGCGCGTCCCCGGAGCAGCCGTATCCTTTTAGCTCCGCATAGATCCGAGCTCCTCGTGTCTTCGCATGTTCGAGCTCCTGGCAGCAGGGTTAGAACGTGACGTAAAGACAACGTGAACCCAAGAAGGCTATACCTCTAGGACCATCACTGCAGCCCCTTCTCCTACTACAAAGCCCTCTCGATCCGCATCGAATGGCCGAGAAGCCTTCTGCGGGTTGTCATTGTAGCTGGTAGCCAGACTGCGGGCCCTAGCGAAACCGCCAACCGCCAAAGGATGGATACAAGACTCCGCGCCGCCGGCTAGCATCACATCAGCATCACCGCACGCAATGAAGCGGGCTGCATCGCCGATTGAGTGTGCGCCTGTGGTGCATGCTGTAGTCGCTGCGTGGTTCGGCCCCTAAATGTAAAGTTAGTCGTGATAGGGTATTGGAGGGAGGTTTTGTCTGCCTACCATGAGCCCATATCTCATAGAAATGTGACCAGCACCGAGGTTGATCAACAACTTGGGTACAAACAGAGGCGACACTTTGCGATAACCCTGGCACAGTTTCAGCTGACGTTTATCCTTGATGCTCAACAAGGACACTTACACCCTTTTCATACGCCACAACCGTGTCATAAATCTCATCAAAATTACCAATACCCGATCCGAGACATACCCCCTAGACATGATACCTTTAGTAAAAAAAAAAAAAAAAAAAAAGCACCAGTGGAAGGCTTCACTTCGGGTATGTACCGTTGCTTCCTTCTGTTCAAAAGTCGTTGGCATCCAGCCGGCATCTTCTAGAGCCTCTTCCGAAGCAGCCATTGCGTACTGCACAAATCGAGCCATCTTGCGCTCATCCTGCCACGGACAATCAGTTGGGGGCTACCCAATAGCCAGGGCAATACTCACGTCTCTGCTTAACCACTCCGAAGCCGTCCATCCGCCTTCGCCTCGAGCACCTTGCGGCACAACGGCAGCAACCTGACAGGGCACGTCCTTGAACCTAGCATCGCGATGCACGACATTGACGATGCCACAATGACCGTCTAACAGGCGTTTCCATGTTCGACGGATGCCTGCGTCTCAGCTTAGATGACGAAGAAAAAAAAAAGAAAAAAGGCTACAGGGAAGGCTTGGGTCCCGCTTTCGTGTGCAACTACCCTCCTGGGCAAGTAATTGAAGTTGTACTTGACCTTCCCTTTTGGGCATGCCAGAAGTGGAGACCGTTTGAAGGGACGCCGCGGAGAAGGCGCGGGCGGATTGAATTTTGAATCGAGATGTACTCACCTACCCCCAAAGGTGTGACTGCTCCTAAGCCTGTTACAACGACTCGACGCATGGAATCTTGAAGGAAAAGAGTTCTGTCTGCTTGTTTGTCCACCTGTCTGTCGGTCTACCCGTCAATGTAACTTTTGTACTGAATTTCGACAAGGTTTTCGGTTACGGTAAGAAAGATCGAGCAAAGCTCCGCGGTAGGTTATTTCGGAGCTAAATCTGGAGCCACCAGACCTGCCCGGTACTATACTCGTGGTAAGGACCGAGCCAAGAATGGAGCAGGAGTGGATGAGAAATTCGACTGAATAAATTGAATAAATTGAAAAAATTGAATAATAATCGATGGAACGATCTTTGTGAACTGGACCTTGAATTTGGAACCTGAAATGCCGAAGAGCAACCCGAAAGGGAAGGTTCTCACGACGTCAGAGAAACCAGGCCACAAGGCCGTCAATTTACCTCTCTGGTTCCTCGACACAGCCAATCAGCAGCGCATCTCCTATCGATAAGCCCGTCCACTTCCTCTCCCCGGTATTCAGGATGAGGGATGAGGGTCTCCGAGGTCATCGAAGAACGAGGGCGAGATTAATTCTTCTCAGTGCTCGAAATTTCTATAATTCTATAAGAGACACCGCCCCCGAAAGTCTGCTGCATCGAAGCTTCTTTCTTTCGACCCATATCTCACGGCTCACTCTCCACAATTCCCAAGAGAGAAAGCAGAGTTGCCAATTGCGCGATGAAATCCCTCACCTGGGCAGCCTGTCTGGCTTTGGCCGGCACCGCTCTCTCCCACACTCCCCACGACAATGACGAAACGATCCCGGAGCGGTTGCGCGAGGAATTGCTGAAGAAATGGGATCAAGAGGTGGGCCAATCATCAATCCTTCCCCCTTCTCTTCTTTCTCAACACTAGATTAATGTTCGACGATTTGTGTAGTTTACCTTCTCCGGCATTGCCAGCTTCGCCCACATGAAGCCTGTCAAGTGTCTCGTCGAACCGGATGAGCGTTACGATATTGCCGTCATCGGCGCCCCCTTCGACACAGCAGTCAGCTACAGACCAGGTAAGCTCCAAACAGCCATCTACATCGCCCTATCTTCCCAATGCCCACATGACTAAACGCCTCCATCATAAACAACAGGCGCCCGTTTCGGTCCCCGCTCCATCCGTGCGGCCAGCGCCCGCCAGATGGCCGGTACCAGCTACAACACCCGCGCGGGAATCAACCCCTACCAATCGTGGGCAACGGTCAAGGACTGTGGCGACATTCCAGTTACCCCGTTCGACAATGGGTTGGCCGAGCGGCAAATGTACGAAGCCTTCCTGGAGCTGGGTTCCCGGCCGGCCGTGACCCGCGCTTCCTCCACGTACGGCACAAAGGGGATTTCGGCCGGAAAGTCGAAGCTCGTCACCCTGGGAGGCGATCACAGCGTTGCCCTTCCTGCCCTGCGTGCCCTGTACCAGATCTACCAGAAGCCTATCACTGTGCTTCACTTCGACGCACATCTCGATACCTGGAACCCCGTGCGGTACTCGGCTTACTGGCTCTCGGAGCAGTCGCACTTCAACCACGGCAGCTTCTTCCACAAGGCCAGCCGTGAGGGCCTTATCTGCAATGCGACCTCCGCACATGCGGGACTGCGCACACGACTGACGGGCGCTGACGATAGTGATTACACCAACCCTGGCCCTGAGCAGGGATTCATGCGAATTCACGCAGATGATATTGATGAGCTGGGCCCCATGGGTATCGTGGATCGGATCGTCGAGCGCATTGGTCTAGATCCAGAACAACCCGTTTACTTGTCCGTTGACATCGATGTTCTGGACCCGGCGACCGCCCCGGGTACTGGTACTCCCGAACCTGGTGGCTGGACGACCCGAGAGTTCATCCGTATCCTGCGTGGCATCGAGAAATTGAACATCGTTGGTGCGGATATTGTCGAGGTGTCGCCTAGTTACGACAACAAGGGTGAGACCACGGCTCTGGCAGCAGCTCAGGTTGCTTTTGAGATTATCACCAGCATGGTCAAGGCTGGTGCAGGTGAGGATCTGGGTGGTTGGTACGGACGCAAAGCAACGCCCGAGGTCGAAATTGAGGTCGAGGTTGAGGTTGAGGACGTGGCAGTTGAGAAGGAGGTCAAGGACGAGCTGTAAAACGCGATACATGCGATGACGATGCTATGTGTGTAATGAGTTAGTGAGGTCGTTTAGCAGTATGATGCAGGCACATCCCAGCAAAAACATGTCCTTGTCAATGGTCGGGCCCATATCATCCCAACTCTTCTCTACACGCAACGCAATCTCGAATGGTAGAATCTGAAATGAAACTTCGGTCATCACTATTGTATCTGTGTTATCTAATCCAGGCCTCGCATGAACGATTTGGGTGAAAATTGCACAGCAAATTGTGATAGGCATGATAACATATTGAGGGATGTGAAAAGAAGAAAAGAACACAGATCGAACCATCAGCCAGCCAAAAAAAGACGCCTCGACTTCCAACGCCAATAAAGACGATGAGAGTTTAGAAAGGGAGTAGAAGGGGAAAAGAGAAGAGAGGGAAAGGATCGGAGAAGGCGGGAGGGAGTTAAGTAGACAGTGGAAGGGCAATCGAATGAGCACGGAGAGATGAGCAAAGATAGTGGGAAGGGGTCGGAGGAGTTCAAATCGGGGGCCAATTGTACACGGCATCAATCGGAAGACGAGCTGATGGGCGATATGGTAGAGTATATGTTGGTGACCCTGTTCTTGATTAGGAGAGCCCTCAGCAGTTTCCCCGGTGCAACCGAGTCACGGCGGGTCTTGCACTCGAGTGTCAGGGCTGCGGGCTGCATGGATGATATTCACTCAATGATCGGAGACAAAAACACATAAAAGTCTCAGGTTAGACGGTGGTCGAGTAAGCCAGCCCCTCCTCCGGGCGAAATTCCCAAAACTCCGTATTGTGAAATAAAACAATCCGTTCCTCCAAAATCGTACGACATGTCTGTGATGCCCCGACGACAAGTGTGCAATCCTCTGGCGCGTACCAGCCTGCGATATAGGAGCCGGGATTGTTTTACAATACCACACACTTCTTAGATTTCTTGGGCGCAGGCTCCAGGGCGGCAACGATGGCCTTCAGACCGATCTGTCAGCTTCCTCTATATGCAAAATCACGGGCGCGAGCAGAACGAACCTCATCAAAGACGTCCTTGAGCTTGTACTGCGTCAAGGCGGAACACTCCACGTATTTCACAGCGCCCAATTCTTTAGCCATCCGGTCTCCGTCTTCCTTGCGAATGGGCTGCATCTTTTGACGGGAAAGCTTTTCCCGAACAGCGGGATCGTCGCGCAAATCGGTTTGGGTGCCGACGATTAGGCAAGGAACACCAGGGCAGTGGTGGTGAACTTCAGGGAACCATTTTTCGCGGACGTTCTCGAAGGAGGCGGGGGAAGTGACGGAGAAGCAGACGAGAAAGACATCGGTTTGGGGATAGGAAAGAGGACGGAGACGATCATAATCCTCCTGGCCGGCGGTATCAAAGAGACCCAGGGTGTATGGCTCATCGCCAATCCTAATGCGCAATAATGATAGTCATCGAGTCAGCCATCTATTGAGGAAGAGTCGCAATGTGATCATCTTGGATCCGAAGTCAGGAAGAGAGAGCGACAATGACGCGATCGATGACATGATGCTGCGCATTTCACCCAAGAGCGTTTCAAGGTGCTCGCCGTGCATGGGGGCAGAGGACAACGACTTACATGACCGTGACAGCATAGTTGTCGAAGACGGTAGGAACATATTCCGAGGGGAACTTGTTCGTTGTGTACGAAATTAACAGGCAAGTCTTTCCAACCGCACCGTCACCGACGACAACACACCTGCAAGATAGAAGAGACACAGATTAGCAGGTCGCCCAAGGAAAAGAGTGCCAGAAGACCAGTAGTAGACTTAAAGAAAGGGGGCAGAGGCTGCGGGAGGAAGAGAAACGGGGGGTAAAATGGTGGGAGGGGAATGAAAGAGCGGGAAGGGGATGAGAATCGTGGGGGCAAAAGGAATAAAGAGAATAGTAGAACGTACTTGATTGTGGCTACAACCATATTGTAAACCTTGGGCTACCCAAGAAAGTCACCAAAGAGACTGTGTGAATGTCCAGGTGAAAGTTGTTGGAGTCCGAGAGGAGATGGACAGGAGGGAAAGGTAAATGCGGTGAACAGGGGGGAGGACCGTGAGGGGAGGGGGGGGGGATGGGAGGTAGATTAGAATAAGAGAGATTGATTAAAAGGGAGGCAGAACGATGAGATGGTAAGGGAGGGAGGTAATCGGGAAAGAGTAAGGCGGCTAAGATAGGACAGAGAAGAGGTCGCGGGTGATGAGGAAAAGACAAAGAGCTTAAGTGTGTAGGTAGAATGGGGAATCACAAATAGTAACTTATCGGTGGGTGTGCGATGTGGTGGCAGTTTGACGGTAAAAGGATAATAGGAATAGGAATAATGGGAGGGTAGGTTGAGGAGGAGGAGGACGATGAGGAAGGGAGGGAGAGACGGAGAGAACGAGACAGAGAGTGAGTGGAGGGAGGGAGGAGAGAGTACCTACTAGAGAGGACGGAGGAGGTGGAGGAGGAGGAGGAGGAGGAGGGAAGGGAAGATGTGGATGGATGGGCTTGAATGGGCTGGGCTGGATGGAGTTGGTGAGGGCCGGGAGGGAGACTGAAAGCCAGCCAATGTGGGAGAACTGCAACGGGGCAATCCGCACCGTTAGTACCAGTAGCCAGTACAGAGTACTTAGTAGTGGGTAAGTTAAGGTAAGGTAGATAGGCTAGGCAGGTAAGGCAGTTAGTACGGAGTAGTTTGAGCTCTATTCAATTATTTAGCTCCTGCTGCTGTACAGCACATACCTAACTTAGCTCAGTCATTGAGGAAACCTAAAGAAAGCAGAACAACAATCTTTATTTTTCTCTTCCTGTTCAAATATTGATATAGCCTTTGACTCCCATTCTCTTCTTCCTTTCCTATCTCTTCATAATCTCCCGTCCTATTAAAGAGGACAATGAAACACAAGCGCTGTCGCCTCCGTGGTCAAACCATCACATAAAATTCAGGCTTCGAAGTCAAATGGCTATAACTACCACGCATGTCTTCCAGGGATTTGTTCACTACAAAACACAGAAATCACCATAATGAACCCAGTCAAATCATCATTACTCAGCGAAGCACCTTAGCCCTAGGGCGGAGCTTCCTCCGCATCATTCTCAAGTTCTTGTATGAGCGCTACATATGCTGTGTTGACAGTAACTTATCTGTTACAGCCCCGCAGACTGGCTCCAAGGGCTCTCGAGCCGCGTCCTGAATACTCACAGAATCATGTGCCAGAAGGTGATCAAGACCAGAGGAATTTTGCGACAGTTCTGGCAGAAACTAAGAGGCGACAATCAGCCGTGCAGAAGAGGGACAAGTTAGAGAAAGGATCGATAGGGAGTCGCAGGTTATAGCAGCTACCCTGGCTGAAACACAAGCAGCCAGGACCCTGATATTTTGATCGACGAGACCGAGCAACAAGCCGTAGCAGAAAAAGCGTTGCTCGGGAGAAGAAACAAAGCATCTATAGAGACTACAGAGTACTACCCAGACAGTAGCGCCGAGGCGATGGATACCGCCCGTAAATCTAGCTCCGGCTAGCCTGGCTACAGTGCTTTACCAAGTAAGGTACTGGTATTACCGCCATCTTGATCCAAAGAGGTGAGATAGACGAGACAAATTGGTATGAAGCGGTATGAGACATTACGAGTAATCCACTGCTTTGGTGACACTAGTCCTGTCTGGGCCGATTGCAGCTGACCGCCTGGGCGGTCACAGCTCTAACTAGACCACTACAGTGTTAGTCGGGTCACATTCATCTGGCACTGCGCATGGATCCGTTCGACTCCTACGCGCCAGAGGAGAACAAATCATCGTGAGCAACGACCCCTTATTTAACATGAAGAACTCTGCTGGCACATTAGGAAATGCCAAAAGATACAGACACAGTCAACCACACTTTATTCGAGGACCGCCTGCCTGTTTGGATAATATCTGTAGTATAGAGCATTGTCCTCCCAACTTCCAGCATGGCTACTTACCCACTACTGTGGATCCTCGCTATAACGAACTCTTTGAAACGAATTCCTCTATATAACGAGCCTTTTGGGCTGGGAATTCCCGCCCCCCCCCCCTACTAAATTCGTTATTTTCGCCATATAACGAAGTTCATGAGTCAAGACTATTCCTACATACAGAATTCGCTACATAGAGGAAGAGTTATACCTGAATAAGTAAGGATTTATACCTATTTAGAAAGGTAAGATTTTACAGGTCACGTGGTTGGTGTTTTTAAGGATCAGGTCTCAGGACATGTATACTCCGATATAAGTTCACACACCAAAAACCTATATTCGCTACAACGAAATCCTCGTTATAACGAACTGATCGGCCTTTTCCAATTGTTTCGTTATAGCGAGGATCCACAGTACTCAAATAATTCGGCAAGACGCTAAGTTTCATGACTTCCCGCAGGTCACCCCCAGGATACTAATTAAGTCACTAGTAAATTGAGTGTGTAAGGAGTAGCTACTCTGTCTATCCATCGACTTACCCTCCGCGGCGCTGCCGCCCCTCTAAGCCTACTACGGCAAAATCTCTTTGTGGTGTCCCAAATCTCATGAGGTGTATGTATGCAGGCTGACTCGCTGATAAGTACAAATATTCACAAAAGGTCGTCTAATCTAATCATGTCATCTATACAAATTTCAATCGAAAGCAATCGCATTGTCGTTCTGCCGGTGACCATTCATTTCTCACCATTGCAGCTCAGGTGTCATAACTTCATATACGATTTACCCCCGCAAGCCAATTCAAGCCAGGGTAACGGTCGTGGCGGCCCCATACCATGACCAGTCGATCGATCAGGGTGGTCCGATGTAACGGCCGTGAGGTGGCCGCCTGTTGATCCCTAATACACTAGGGTTACCGCGCGTTGGCGCGGAAATCAACAGGGAAAATGCTAGGCGACAAGCATTTTTCGCTGTTCCCTGCGGGGGCAGTTTCGTATGCATGTGTCTATACATGCACAACAACCATCAAAGACACCTCTTAACGCTCAGATCGTTTTGAGTGTGCCTCAGATTCAGGCTCATCCGCTTCTGCTTCTGCAGGAATGGGCTCATGAGTTGGGGTTTCGCCCATCTGCGCCCGTTAGTCATATAAGCGCCACAGGGTTTCATAGTGACATACCTTGTCGAGCTGATAATTGGACATGAGAAGGCTCAGGGGGATCAATGGGATGGTCGCAATCAGTGCCAGAACCAAGAGTTTGTTCATGGTTTCCTGATAGGCTCGATTGATGGCCACCCGCGCGGGCGAGCCCACAGGGTAAGAAAGTGCTTTGGTCAACTTTCCAAATATCTCACTAACATCCGCCTTGGCCTCGTCGGGAAGGTACTGTTGTAGTTTGCGTGGAATGTGATGTGTCCAGATGGCGCCCGAAATGGCGGCTCCTACGGCACCGCCCATTTCCATGGAGGTAAGGAACATTGCCGTGGCGGCTGCAACGTCCTGGTGGCTGGCGGAGGCCTGAACTCCCAATTGGACAGGTACATTGAGGAGCCCACCGCCTGCACCGACTATCACCTGGGTCCCCAAAATCAAAGCTGGTGAGCTCCCCTCTCTCCGGTAGGTCAACATTAGGAATATCCCAGAAATGTATATCACGCAGCCAATCGTGACGTAGACGCGGTAACGCCGTGTATATTTGATCAGGATCGAAACTCCAAAGGCGGCAATAGTGGATGTGAAAGCGAACGTTTGGGTCACACGACCCGCTGTTGCTACATCGTAGTCCTGGACAACCTGGAGATAAGAGTAGAGGTACGGCTGAACAGAAAAATAGAATGCCACTTCAAAAATGTTAGTTTGGTCAGCATTAGCCTCGGGGTAATTCGCGAAGAATTGACATACTGAAGTAGAAGAAAGCCAGAGTACAACCTGCCAGAGCAGTACGCTGTTTGAGGAGGTGCAAGGAAAGCAAGGGCTTGGGAGCCAACTTCTTCGAGCTTTCCCAAGCAGGTAAAGCGCAAAGGCAGACTATACCAACTATGATCATGGCGATGATGCTGTTATTCTTCCACCCGTTCTTGGAATTGGCCGCCAGAGTCAAGGGAACCAAAATCAAGGTCACTGCCGCGGACAGCAGAATCAAGCCGAACATGTCAAGATCATACCAAGTGTGGCGAACAGCGGCAATGAATCCACGACGGTGAGCGCTCCTGGGCTTAATGAGGTTCAGCCTCTTGGCCTTGCGCTGGTTCAACAAGAGTGAGAGTGCCAAAGGAAGAAACGAAGCGGGCAGAATGATTGACCACATGCCGTAGCCCCAGCGCCATGAGGTATGCTCAAGCACCGCGTTTGCAATCGTCGGCCCGATCCAGACAGTCACTAAAAAGGGTAGCTCCGGTAGAAGTGCAAGAAGTGCACGGTTGAGGAGGCTACTGCTGTCGGCGATGAAGACCTGTTGCAATATTTGCAAGCCAGTTGAACCGGCGGAGTAAAAGATTTGGGCTGAGGCGTATGTCTGAACATTGGTCGACGCAGCCATTTGGACGTATCCAAGAACGTATATCAATATACTGACGCAGAAGGCCTCGAAACGGCCGAAAACATCAGCGACTTTTGCCATGGGTGGCTTAATGACAGCTGCGATGGACGGTTAGCCAAAACTAGGAGTGTCCAGCCTCAGACAGTGTACCGACCATTAACGACATTCTGAACAACAAGAACAGTTGAGATCAACGAATGTTTGCTGAAAGCGCTTGTAGCATATGCCGAAAGGGACATTACGGTTTGACCCTCAAGGGACGTACAAAATGCCATGAGGAATATGCTTCAGAATCGTCAGTACATATGCGCCTTCAAGTTCTCAGTCCCCTTCCACAAACACTAGAAGCACAAACCTGATATATGCTATGATCAAAGACCGTGTGGTCCAAGTCAGGTTGATTGCTTCAATCTTCCTGACACCCTCCTGTATAGAATCCCCCGAGGACTCTACATCGCTGTCATGCCTGCCTGCCTCATATCCTGCTTGGAGAAGATGTTCTCCTTCCTCGTCGTTGTATTGATCCATTTGACTGATTGTGCCATATGAAACTTTCGAGCGGTAATCAAGTAAGGGCATTGCGGGTGTGTCGGGTTGGATGATGTATGATCGAGTGGCAGAGTCGCACTAAGGGCAAGGTCCATTTACTGCAACCGACCGTGGGAGACTTGGTTTATAGTCGTGAGTAGTTGTGAAGGCGAAAGTAGCATGTGGATAGGAGGTTGAATAGTGTTAAAGCCGAAGCATCGACATGGAAGAGAAAAGGCGACAAGCTGACGCTTGCGAGGCTGCGCGGACGGAAAGGAGTCTCTGCGACCTGAACCAGCCAGATCCACCGACAAGAGAAAAAGCAATCAACAGGCGACCAACGAAAAGGAGGAATCAAGTAGCGCAGAGACTAGGAATAAACCCCGATGAGGGGTACAGGTCAGAACGGCAGAGCTAATAGACTGGTGGACACTGAATCAAGGTCAGATGGGTTTGGGTACCAGTCCTGCGTTAGGTAACCAGATGCAGACAGTCAAGTCAATACACAGCGCAACGCGTGGATCGCCAGATCTATAGTGCAGGAGGAAGCACAAGGGGCTGAGCTCCAAGGCTTCCAGTCACAAATCAGACCCTCACGATGATTCACACCACTGACCACGATCGACAGGCCGCACTTATGCAAGTCGGTGTGGGAAGCTAGGACTTAGCCTATGGGCTGAACGCCCGTGGCCCAGAAGGGAAGTGTGGCACCCGCAGAGTTGCTGCAGCGAATAGATACTTGGAAGAGAGAGGGGGAGGAAAAAAAAGATTCGAAATTTGCTTCTATCCAGTACCAATCCCCAGGTCGAATGCGGGCGGATGTTGCCTGTCGGGCAAGTTTAAGTGGTGACAAAAGTTTGTGCCTTGCGCCCCAGGCAGTTCATTGACAGATACTTGGTTACACGCGGCGGACGACCAAGGTAGAGGATAGATAATAGAGATGGAGGTGGGGGGAGGGGAAGATATCGAGTGTCGACAAGAGCCGGTAGGTACCCCTGGCCTTTCTGCAGAGAAGGCTTCGACTGCAGGAGTTCACCCCAAAGAGGCGTGGTGGTTGCGGAAGCTGGGTGGGGATGGGAAGGAAGATAGTGTGGCAAGTGACCGGGATGTCGAATATTACGCAGTGTAAGAGAACATCAGATATGATAAGATCACCTGGTCCGGCGGTCGGACCGAGCGGCAGTGTGAGGGGAGGGGAGGGAAAAGCCGGGATCAGATGATGGTGGTAGTGGTGGTGGTGGTGGTGGTGAAGGATAGATGGTCAGTCAGGCTGATCAGTGGTCCGTGGAGACTAGTAGACTAAAGGGAAAAGTGGTTCTCCGCTACTCATCTTTTTTCTTTTTTTTTTTTTGCTATTTGTATATGGTTTGGTTGGTAGCAACCGGCTCTTATACATTGTAGTCAAGATCGATCCATGATGGATTTCTATACTTACCAGATGGCACAGTACTGTTCCTCCAGTAGTAGGTAGGAAGTATTCAGGCAAGTCATCCATTCATCCCTCTTTTCCCCAGTCTGACCGCCTGGCTGGCTGGCATTCTGCTTGGACAACTTGGAAGCAAGAATGAAGTTGCGCATCGCCGCTTCATCCACTTCCGCCCCCTTGCATGCGTGCAGACACGACAAACCTGTTTGAAACTGGATTTATCGACCCAAAGACCTCTGTGAAGCGATGTTGATTGGAATGCTTTGCACCTTTCTCTGCATGACTCGACCGCGTTGCCCAATCCAAGGAGAGGTATTGTCATCTCACCGGGCTCCTCATGCGGCTTCGACCCTTTGAAAAGTGCTTAGCATGAAATTCCACGTCCTCTTCCCCCCCAACCCGACCTTACCGGTACATCACTGTTGAATGAAGCCCGGACCCATCTCCTGATTGGGCTTAAGAGATACAAAGCTCGCCCGGGGAAGAATGGATCATGGATGACTCGGGAGCAACCGCGTCATCCAAACCGACCTGTCATCGGAGGCCGTTCTCCCACCACACCACCAACAGACCGAGCAGGGTGAGTGAGGTACGAGGATCAGATGAAATAGCGCGCTCACGGGTCACCTGCGAGTTATTATAGTATCCCCCAATAACTCCCTCCCGCCCAAGCCGCTGTGAGAACAATGAAGAGATACCCTCAGATCGCGAAGGTGGTAGGTGCACTTCGACCTGTGACGAGCCTTAAATGAACCCCACTCGTTAGTCCATCAATGCTTGCAAGCCAAAATAAAAGAAAAGAAAAAAAAGTCTCCAAGTTTGACAAGGTCCTGTCTCGGGGATTAATATTTCCTCTGTACGACCTGTCGGTGATTTCTAGCGTGACTTTGAGGGTTGCTCGGCGATTTCGAGGAAAGCATGGCCAGATCTCGGCTCTTAAACCACGAACAGAGAGGGCATTTAGAGAAGGGCATTTGGCTTGCGTTACTGAGAACAGATGGCGCTCCTGTCACGACTACTTGCCGTTGATTCGTGTATCGCCCACTATCATGCTCACAAATTCATTTGTTACGCTGAACTCCAACTGATGTGTATTCTGGTTTCTGTTCACGTGGTTTGCGTGTTTTCGAACTCATTACTCTTGAACAACAGTTAACATTCCTGGACTCCATTTTCATCGATGCATATATAGTCAGGTCGGAATAAGCCTGTTCAAATAGGTCTTTTTGAATCCGTCGTCGATCTATTGCCATGTCTTGCATCGAATGGGCTTGGGGGAAAGCCTCGGAAATGAGTTGCATACCTCACAAATTATGCATATCAGACGACCAATCAGCTAGGCACTGCAAATTTCAAGGTCATGGTAGGGCCATTAAAAATGCATAACTACAGCGAGAGCATCCTGTACCTGCTGACTACACAACCACAACCGCATCCTGCATTCACCGACGCTGGTTGGCGACAGACCTACCATTTCTCTTCACAGGCACATCCATGTGTAGTAAGTACCCTTCCTGACAATATGAAGAATGTTAAAGATTTGTGCTTCTGAAGATACATTGAACAAGATGTCTATGGACAACTCAAAATTACATTCAGCCACAGATCTAATGAAACCCCTCACTCAGCCGAATCGATAATCAAGTGGCCGAAGTTGACTACCAGATCCTCCTTTTCGTCCGAAGGTTTCGCTGCATAAAGTCCGATCCAAAGGTCTTGCACTTTTGTGTCTTCGAAGAACCAGGTCACCTCTCGAAGGGGAGACTTCTGAACGCCCTCAACCAGATAGATCCATAAGCTGTTATCCGACTCTCGGACAATCTCCAGGGTGGCCGCTCCACCACCTGACGGCACAGGCTGCAGACTCCAGTCCGCCCAACGGTCCTTGGCGACAGTGCTCAGGTGTGGCCTGCCGTTGGCAAGCTCAATGCCGGACTTGACCCATTTCCGAGTTCCATCGGCACCATTGAGGACCAGGATCACGCCTCCTTGGTCGTACTTGTGTTTCCAGAGGGCATTGAATGCGACCCTGGCCCTTTTGAAGGATTGCACTGGCACGCTTCTGTACAGTATGGGTGCGTTGAAAGACTCTGTGGAAGGAGGTTTGGCCCAAATGTCGGTTGAAGGGCTCGCTTTAATGGAGAACTCGGCGGGGAGGTTCCCGTCACCAGGAACCTTTTCGGAAGAGTTTGCGAATTTGAAATCCGTCATGATCGCGCGCAGTGTGAGATCCGATGTGGGTAGCGTTGAAGGAGATAGATTAGATCGAAGCGGAAGTCTTGAAGTGCGGAGGCGGGGGAAAAGATGAAGTGTAATGCGATGGTTGATATGAGGAAACACAAATGAAGATATGAGTAGCACGGTTAGGAAGACCGGGAACCTCAATATGAATAAGAGGCCGGAGGACCATGGCCCAGACCCTACGTCACTTGGAGGGGGAGCAGCTCCACCGTCCAGAAGGCGCTGGGTCAAAGCTGGAGAAGCATCCCAAGGGATCATTGCCCTCTGCGGTAACCTATGACAGCGATGACTCCATCTCCGGTGGGGTTATCGGAGGGGTCGGCGAGGGTAGGAAGCACGGCAGACACGAATGTTGCTGCTGCTGCTGCACTAGCCAAAGTAGACAACTCTGTACCATACTCAAAGAGGTAGATCGATAAGCATACTAGGTAGGTGGCTTCGTAGTACAGCACCTACGAACTGCAGGCGCTGCAAAGTCCGTGGGGTGAGCAGATAGTATAAGTACAGTAGTGCCGCAATGCTCCTCCTTCCCGTAACCGATCGAAATCGATTGCATAACTATGAGTGCTCGTTTCACAGGGGAGATGACATAAGCGAGACCTTCTCCTAGAAGGCGGCGTTGCGTTGTCGATCGGTCAGAGGATCTCCAAAATGGCAACCAGCGTCAAATCGATCGATGCTGATTTGGCACGACGAATTCCAGGCATGGGCTGATTGATATTATCCAACTCTCTGTGATGTTTCTCCTTCGTTATGTCTGCCCGTCTCCTTCACCCAGATGAGTATGAGCTAGAAACTCGCTCTTCAGCGGACTCTCAGGAGAGCTTCAATCTCGATGACGCCGATTTCGAATCGCAGGTGCCTCCGCGACCCAGACGGATGCTGAGAAAGGTTCCTTTCCTATTGAGACTGTTCTCTTCGACCTATTCTGGCTATCGTAGCCTGAAGCCTTCGCGACCGTTCCTATCGGCCTCAACACGCCGTGGTTGCTACCGCCGCCTGCTGTTTCGCCGCTGGTGCCTTCGCCTCCATGCCGCCGCAGGTATCATTCTTGCGCTTATCGTCCTAACGTCAATCTTCCGACCTTCGTATACTCGGCTGCCGCCACATTATTCGTCTCTTTGGGATGCAGTGTCGCAATCGACTGAACCCGGCCGTGGAAATCCCCGCAACGAGAAAGTCTTCATCGCTGCAAGCTTGTACGACCGCGATGGCGACCTGGCGCAGGGACACTGGGGAGATAGTGTGCTACGGCTAATTGACCTGCTTGGGCCAAGCAATGTCTTCTTGAGTATCTATGAGAATGACAGCGGCGCGGACGGGGAGCGGGCGCTTCGCGGCCTGGAGACACAGGTCACATGCAAGAAATCCATCGTATTCGAAGAGCATCTCGATTTAGACTCTCTTGCAAAAATCGTGGCGCCCGATGGGTCAAGGCGAACGAAACGGATCGAATACTTGGCTGAAATTCGAAATCGAGCCCTACGGCCTTTGAGCGATCAGCATGATGTGCAATACGACAGGCTCTTGTACTTGAATGATATTGCCTTCAACCCGGTCGACGCACTTCACCTCTTGTTCTCTACAAATGTAGCGGACGATGGCGTTTCTCACTATCGCGCAGCCTGTGCTATCGATTTCATCAATCCTTTCAAGTTCTATGACACTTACGCGACGCGGGACTTGCAGGGTTACAGCATGGGGCTTCCTATCTTCCCTTGGTTCTCAACTGCGGGAGAAGGTCAAAGTCGACAGGATGTGCTATCAGGAAAAGATGCCGTGCGGGTTCGCAGTTGCTGGTCAGGCATGGTGGCTTTTGACGCTCGGTTCTTCCAGCAATCTCCGGAAAGCCAAAGCTACAAGGGCGTTGAAACACCAGTTCAGTTTCGTGCTTCACATGAATTGTTCTGGGAAGCGTCTGAGTGCTGCCTCATCCATGCTGACATTCAGGAACCTCTGGCGAATGGGGGAGATAGCGGCATCTATATAAACCCATATGTCCGTGTCGCATATGATTCCCATACTCTGTCTTGGCTTGGGACGACTCGACGATTTGAGAGACTGTATGCCTTGATTCAAAATCTGATCAGTCGCCTTGCTGGACTACCATGGTTCAATCCTCGCCGAGATGAGATTCCGGGACAAAATGTACAACAGACAGTCTGGGTTCCAGATGAAAAAGAAGATGGCAGTGGCTCGTTCCAGATAGTTGATAGGGTTGCAGGGAAGGACGGCTTCTGTGGACGCCCGGGGCTGCAGGTAATTGTTGAGCATCGCGAAGAGGGACAAAAGGGGTGGGAAACCATCCCAATGCCGTCTTGAGGTTGTCTTTGCTGAAAGTTGGCACGTATCATTTTGCTGTCGTGAATCTCCACCGCCTGGTAATGCGTTTGTTTGCACTGAGGGTCATGACAGCCTCGTCTCCCCCGCCTTTCCATTAGCCCAAGAGATATATGTAACGCGCGCAGCAAAGTCTCAACTACAAACGCTTTGAAGAACTCCGGTGAATTACCCCAAGAATCTCCCGTGGTTCAATCCGTAGCTTTCACTTGGGGAGATTACTCATTTCAGCTTCGCTTTTATAGATACACCGAGCCGTTGGATGTTATGGTGATCATTCATGCCTTCTCTTCTCGTTCCAAAATGTCACCAGCTTCCTCCTCCGCCTTGGACCTTGTAAAACATCACTCCTCTAGAGACATGGAGTTCGCCAACCGCGTCACAGGAGTTATCTACGGGGTGCTCGATTCTCTTATGGATCGGGCGTCCTTGGCCAGCCTTGACGAAAGCCAGCATGCCCCTAAAGCTGTGAAGTGGCCGACAATGAAGGGCTCTCGTCTCCATGCGGTCCGTCCAACTCTTCCTTCTCGACTTCCTCCAGTCGCGCTTGTTTCAAAGTTCGCGCTCTGCTTCCCGCCTGCTCCAGTTCCAGTCTGACCATTTCTTTGAAATACTGACAAGTAGTGGAAAAATCAGCAGGCTTCTCAAATCTCACCCGGCAACCAGAGGACCTCCCTCGTTGACTCGGTCAACACACTCAAAGCGTCTTCTCTTGCTCTGGTTTCACCCTCTACATCTCCCTCCTCTTGTTCCCCTTCCATCAGACCCCAGAACACATCCCCTAGCTTGTTTACCCAACAAAAATACACCGAAGAGAAAGACAACAAAACAGCGAACATGTATCCCGTCGCTGACGTGGACGATACCGCCGGCTTCATGGCTGCTGCGCGCGCCTGGAAGCCGGAGAGAGACTACTTCAACTCGTCCGCTCAGGTTGAGGATGTGTCTATTGACAAGCAAGGTGGTGAAGATAATTCCGCCAACGCTTTGGACTACAACGCGACTGCTGGCGATGACGACTTCGGTGGGTCACCCACACTTCAACCTGAGAGCCACACAGACTAATTTTCACCTGTGCATCCAGTTGGCATCCCCGGTGATGATGCTTTCGACGGATTCGCTCCCCCCAAGTCCGATGCTGGAGATTTTGAAGCAGGACTCGAGACTCAGAAGTCGGTCACAGATTGGGACGGAGCTGACAACACTCTGAAGCAGGAGCAGCAGCAGCAGCAGCAGCAGAAGCAGCGTGTTACTGCTGCTGCCGCCTCCAGCTTGCCTGTTACCTATACCCCCTCGGAGGAGGAAGATCGCGAGAACCTCACTACCTTCAAGTCGTGGGGTCCTCCCGCTCCTCGTGACAAGCCCGGTACTGCTGCCCCTTTGCCCACTTCCTTGTCCTCAAATGCAGACTAACACCCTTTTATTTATCAGCTGCTCGCATCCGTCGTGTTATCATCAAGGGTCTTCCCACTGCCTGGTGTAGCCCTGCCAAGGTCCTTTCGCTTGTGCACGGGGGTGCCATCGACAGCATCAACGTGACTTCCTCTGGCACTGCACACATCTTGTTCTGTGAAGCCGATGCCTGCAGGGCGTTTTATGACAAATACCCCAACGGCATCGATCTGGACCGGGAGAAGAAGCTCACTGTGTTTGTGGAGATGGGCCAGGAGGTTGACGTTGTCAGCTCCAGTCTCAGTTTCAGTCTCTCCGTCGGGGCCACCCGTGTTGTTCGTGCTGTCGGAGCCCAGATGGATGTCAATATGGAGAAGTTGGTCAAGCTGGCGACCTCCAAGAATGGCAAGCTGGAGAAGATGATTGACACCTACGTCCCCGGTGAAGTAAGTTGTCTTCCCTTGAGCCTGCAGTTCCCTCAACTGATCAAACCGACTCCAGGCCCGCAGCATCGTGTTCCGCTTCTGCAGTGTCGACGACGCCGTCCGCTTCCGTGCCGCCTTTGTCCGCGAGATTGAATTCGAACAGTGCAATGTTCAGTACGCGGCTGATCCGTAAGTGAAGCCTATCTGCATACCTTGGCACATAAGGTTTGGGCTTTTGGCTAAGCATATACAGATGCGAGACTGCGACTGGCTACCATGTGGACTAGATGTCTGATTGTTGTGTGTCCACGGGTCTGCCATGATCTATATTGTGGATCTTCTGCAGTACACACGGCATTTCAAGCGTTCTACGATGCCCCAAGGACAACTTCTTTCTTCATGTTGTACATTAAGGTGGCTTCGGGCCCATGACTATTACCGAGTTCTATGAAAGCAAGCGCCATCAATGCAGCTAGCTCATATGTCATATCCAAACTTAGGAATATGCGAAGACGAGAGTCACCCGCTGCATTTGTATCCTACCGGGTAGCCTTTTTTAAGTTGCGTACGGCTATTATATCCGATGAAGTTGGACGCCCTACTATATCCGCTAGAAATATACTCAGGTAGGCAGGTATAGTTCCCATCACCACAACACCACCCACCAAAGAAAAAGAAACCGAGCAACAAACATCCCTAACTATCTCCCTTCCCTCCCCTTCCCCTTCTCTCACTTGATCACTAAGTATCCTTCCTCCACGCCCCAGATCAAACCAACCAGCTATCACGATATTAATACACAACCATTACAACCCAGCACATACAATACCCCCATAATTACCATACACAACCCACCACAGAGTATGTCTCCGTATCCGTATTCAAAGTACTCCGTACGGTAACCAACAATACCACATTACACTCATCCGTCGGATAACTAACACTGCCCCCCCCAAACTCCAGCTCCGAGGCCCTACCCCGAAAACCTCGGGGTTTGTTAGGTACATAGCGGGCCGAGGGGGTAAGTTACAGTGGTTGTACTGCGGTTTGCTCCGGTTATATAGAGTTATAATAAAATTATATAAAGTTCTGACTAATTATAAGTTCTTTAAATCTAGGAGTACTAATCTTTATATAAATAATAGATTATACTAAAACTATACCTTTTTTACTAGATCTAAAGTAGTTTTTATACTATTTATTATTATAATATATTTTAATCTTAGAGTTATACTAACTGTTATATTTTTTATTTATACTTATTTATAATAATAATTTAAACTGTTGTTATAACTGTTCTATTTTATAAACTAAAGTATAAATAAGTATAATCTTATTTAAATCTTACTAAAAATAAATATTATCTTATTAAAATCTTACTAAAAATAGATATTATCTTATCGAAATCTTATTTTATTATTTATTTTTTTCTTAATATAGCCTTTTTAATTTTTTATATATATAATTATTTACTGGAGGCTAAAATCTTTTTTTTATATAATATATCTTAATTTTTATATTTTTTATTATTTATTTTTTTATTCTCTATACTAATCTTTCTTTATTTTTTTATTTTTTTTATTAATCTTTTTTTATCTTCTTATTTTCTGTACTAATTTTTTTATCTTTTTAAATATATTCTAAAATCTGTATTTTTAATATTTTTAATATCTATCTTTTTTTATCTGCAAGTAAGATAAATAAAACTAAGTTTTAGTATCTATTTCAGCTTTAAAACTAAGATTTTAATATTTTTTTATAAATAGTTTTTAAAATTATAGAATAATATTTAATAATTCTTTATAATATACAGTAATATTCTTTTTTTTTTATTATAATATATAGTAATCTTCTGTAATATACAGTAATTTTTTATAATATTTAGTAATATAATTAGGCTGTATAGTAAGTTAATTTGTTTATTAGCTATATACAGAAAACTTCTAGATAATATATATTTAAATAATAATAATAAGAATAAAAATAAACAAGCAATAAAACTTAATCTTAAAAAAAAATATATAAAATTATAGAAAATATTATATTTAACTTTATATAAATTATAGTTTAACTAGCTAAAGTTACTATTAGTTAAACTATATTAGATTAAATTATAGAACAACTACTTAAAATATATAAAAAAAAAAAAAGGCGTCTTACTAAAAATAGTATAAAAATATTTAATCTATAGTAAAATAAGTAAATAATAATAATTTTTAATATTTATTTTAGATAAATAGAGTTAGAATAAAACTAACTATTTTATTTACTTTTTATAAACAGTAAAATATATTAATAAAATAAATTATAAAAATATTTTCTTTCAGCAGAATATAAGTAATAACAAAAAAGAAAAAACTATCTAAAAGATTTATATTATTTTTATTATAATATACTTATCTAGTTAAATTAACTAAAAGTTAGAAAAAATCTCTATTTTTAGAACTATTTGCTTCGAAGATAAATAAAATAATTAAAAATATTAAATATTAGACTAATATAAAAAATCTCTATAAAAAATACAAACCTGTATAAGACTAGAAAGTTAGATTATTATATTAAGAAGAAAAGAAAAATAAATATAAAAAAAATAATAATAAAGCTATTTAATAATATAAAAAACTTAGAGACTAAAATTTTTAAATTAAGTTTTAGTAAAAATAAGTTTTAATAATAAGCTAAAATTTTAAATAAAAAAAAGCAGCTGTAACTCTTTTATAAATTAAATATTTATTAATCTGATTAAGTCTTTCTGGTTGACAGTAAAAATAAATTAAGTATTAATTTTAAGCAAGCTAAAAAATCTTATTAAAATTAAAAAACTTGTTAAAAAGATAAATAAAAATAAAAATAAAAATAATCTTAAAAAGTTTGCTAAAAATATTAGAAATAATATTTTTAAAATATTAAAGTACTTAGTTATATCTAATTTTAAAGCTCTACTAATAATAAGTAAAAAAAATAATCTAATAAAAATTATTTTTAAGAAGCTTAAAAAACTAGAGCAAATCTAGTAGTTTATTAATAATTTTAACTATTAAAAAGAAAATTATTTAAAAGCCTGCTAAAATCTTAGGATTAAAAATTTAAAATATCTGTATTTATTAAATATAATTATATTTATAGTATTAAAATTCTGGTAATTTATTAGAATCTAGACTATTATTAAGATTATAATTAAAAAAATAGTATAGAAAATATTACTAGCAGATATAGTTAGACTAGAAAAAATATAATAATCTATTAATATTATTTTTATAATAAATAATTTAAAAGATTTTAGTATTAGGCTTTTACAACTAACTTCTAGAAATATATAGTATATTTTAAAAAAAAGACTAAGTCTAAGAATAAATTTACTATAGAAAGACTAAAAAAGCCGATTTTAATACTAATATTATTATATTTAATTTATTAATAGTAGACTAAGATTCTAAATATTATAAAGCAGTTAGTACTGTATATATATTATA